CCTGAAACTGTGAATGTGGTCCCCTCCTCTGCGTCCAGTTGGCTGAAACTGCGGACCTGTGTGTCCACGTCCACCTGAAACTGCAGGCCTGGTCCTCACTTGAAATCGCAAAAGCTGAGCTGGACATTGTTTGCTGAGAAGCAGCTGCCATGGATGCTGCATAGTTTTGGATTTCAGTAAAGTTCTACTGAGAGAAAGCAGAGGATTCCGGAGTGGATGCGGCAGAAAATGTATAGTACTGCGTCATCTGCAGTGTGCTGTGCGTGGAGGTGAGCACACTTGTGTGTGTAAGCTGCTGCAAGTGCTGAATTTGCGCAAGTGAGCTGAAGCTAAAAGAAAAGTTCTGTTCCGGTGAGCTGTGGCTGATTGATCTTCTGACGGGCTGATTAAAGGGCTGGGGCGATTGGTGGGCAAGAAGCACCGGGCATCTCTGTGGGAAAGCAGCAAAAGCACACACAGAGGAAAGGAGCCGGCCATATGCTACAACTTGAAGACAGTTGCTGCACTCTAGAAGTGGAATACATTTTGGTGGTGACTTGTGTGGACAGGGCGACAGGTACATCATGCGTCTGATACCACAGAAAAGATGGAAAAGCCGTAGACATGTTTCTCCAATTGAATCATGTTGGTAGGGTATAGCAGTCAGCCATTGGACTGAAAGCAGTAGATAACTAACTCGCTTCGTAACAACAAATGATACCCATTTATTAGATCTGCCACTGTCAAAGTGCGAGTAAGGCGAAGTACAATGAAAATGTTATGAAAGCCAATTCATCAATGTTTCGACATGTGACACAGACATCATTTCCCACAGACAAACTGTGCTTGCTTGCAGTTATGATGTCTGGTTGGATCAATTCTCACCCAAACACTCTGACAGTAAGAAGAAAAATTTTAAAATGGACTCAAAAAAGAAAAGAAAAATGGAAGCAATTCCCAAAGGGGGCCCGAAGGGGACTGAACAATCCCATTATAGAGAGTTCTCCCAGAGCGAGGGGAAGCAGAAATGACTCACAGGAAGGCACCACATCATTCGTTACATGAATGAAGGCCAAAACAGCACACCCTGAAATGTCCACTTCTTACTTCACTAACTGGCCCCCTTCTTGGATGGATGTGAGGATAAAAATGATATGAGAGGAGAGCCTGTAGAATGGCACAAGATACACGCTCAAGAGATGCACAATTCGGCATGTGCAACACCTTAGAAGTGATGATCGTTATATTCTTACTAAGTTTCAGCTGTTGATGTACTCCATCAAGCAAGAGCCTTGTTGTTCTTCTTCCATTTTTGCCTTCCACTCCTGCAATGCCGATCGAACAGCATGATTAGGAACCAGAATCTTGCTGTTCAACCAAAGGTTTGTCATAGGGGAGGTCTGATGGGTCTCGAACCACCTTTCAATCTCCTTTCGCTCATAGGTGTGTCCATCGGGTGCCACAACTGGATCTTCCATCAATTCCTGCAAACCACCACCGCAACAAAATTTTCAATACCACCAACACCTGCACAATGCATCTACATATATGAGCCGGTCAAGCTCCAATCAAACAGTCTGTCACAGCCCCTCGTTTGATGTCCTCTTATGCCTCTGCGTACGGTTCACTGGGCGGTTCTCTATACACTGTCACATATCTATGAAGTAGTATGAACTAAAAGAGTGCACTTTGCGAAACAGACGATAAAAATACACAAGGCAAACATGAAGAACACACTGAAACCATTCATTTTTTTCTTTCCGTCTTCTTTTTAACTCCCCCGTTACAAGGCTCGCCACATTGACGAAGTTGAGCGCAAGCCTCCCGCATCCCCGTGTGCCATAATGGCCCACTTATATGCTGTGAGAAAGAGGCAGAGTAAAGGGGGAGGGGATAAACACAGAGAAGCAAGATGGAGAGAAGACAAAGCAAAGAAAGACAAAGGGAAAGTAAAAGTGAAAGTAAGGAGTGCAGAATGAAGATGAAAGCAAAGGAAAGAATAAGAAAGGCTCAAGAATTAGTCTTTCCTTGACGACAGAGAGGACATACATTGTAAGGCCGAGGTGGATGAACACATCGAAAACCTACCTGAGCATTCTCAGTACAACAAAGAAGACATCAGGAAAGTAATCACCAGCTTCTACTCTGACTGGGAGAGGAGGAGGGGGGGGGGGGGGGTTGGATGACACACGTGGAATGGCCAGGGGGGGAGGGAGGGGAGGACTCTCCGCAAAAGGACTACACACTTATATTTCATGATTGGCTGCAGATTGATCTAGGTGTACCACTGGGGGTCCCGGAATACTTCCCTGACATGTTTCCCCCATCTGAGCTGGCATCGGTGGACCTGCAATGGTTTGGCCGGGACCCCTGATCTGTGGTCCCATCAGGGAGGTCCCTGCAACGGTTGTATGCTAGCAAGCATTGGGTAGTGCCAGGGAGCAGAAGAGCCCAGTAATGGTTGTATGCATGTTAGCAAGCATTGGGTAGTGCCAGGGAGAAGAAGAGCCAGCAATGGTTGTATGCATGTTAGCAAGCATTGGACAGTGCCAGGGAGCAGAAGAGCCCAGTAATGTTTGTATGCCAGCTCACTCTGCCAATTAGTAACAGGCAGCCATGTTGGGCTGATGAGGCTAGATACCACCAGCATTCCCCACTCGACATCTATAAAAGGGCCTTTACGAATCAGACCCCAAATGGATGCCCCAACAGCAAGGGGCCCTGTCGGCCAGAACTTGACTTCACGAGCAGCAACTCAAAAGACAAGGTTCCTGAGGTAAAAGTCACATTGCGAGGGCATTGCCTCTATGAGCCCCATAGGGCCCCCTTTTTGCAGCCCGCCGACCGCCCTAAGTGAAGGCAGGCTCGACGAGGCCCTCAGGGCCCTTTTTCTGGCCACTACGCAACCCAAGGAAATTCAGGCAGTTTGGCAGCGCCGGTTGGTTGAGTGAACCCAGGCCCTGTGCCGCCTGTGTGAATGAATGTGAAGCAGGCCCTGGGCTGAATACGGGTACCGGGCCAAACAAAGGCCGAAGGCAGTTGGGCACATGCAACCACTACAGGCCCAAGCACCTGCTCCCGTCGTGCTGGGCCTCAGGCTACCGGGGCCTACTGGAAGCTTCCTGGGACTGGACGCAGGCAGGCCACTTCGATATAGGGAAGGGCTGCCTCCTCATTTGGGCATTCGGGTGCTGGCTGCATGCTGCGCTATTTGCTGGCTGGCGCCTACGCTCTCACGGGTGAGCAGGAAAGGAGCACGCAGCCATAGCCGAGCTGCGCTGCTGTATGCTGGGTGAAGCGCAGGATGGTCCTTGGGTGCTAGTGGCATCTGTGAGTTGGGGAACGAGGTTGTGAGTGTAGCGCGAGACATACCTGGTGCTGGAAGCGTGCGACATTGGTCGCCATATGCTCATACTTCGGGAATGCTGTTGATGTCATCTTTCGGCTTCGCAGTATAGGCTAGATAGGATCTGCCACATGTAGTCGGGGCGCCGAGCGCCAGATAGGATATCAACTCTGGTTCTTCATTGATGATGATGGGACTATTTCAGCATTGTCAATTATGAACTCTTGGCGTGTTCTTATTTGGTGATTCTCGTGATGCAATGCTGCTGTTGGTTCGAGGTCAAGACTATCTGGACTCATATGTATGATGCTGTTTGATTGTTGAAGTTCGCTATTGCTCATCTTCCTTGCAATTTGGTACCGGAGCTGTGGTACGACTGCGCTCATCTGGCACTTGTCTTCTGCCTTATGCAGTGCATACATGCGGTCTGCTGGGCGTAAGTGGTGTGTAGTGAGGAGGGTGGAGACAAGTGTAAGGCGACCCAGGAGGTGAGGGGAATCGCCAGGAAGGCTATGTGAGGTGAATGTGGTCTGGACAGTGTGATGAGAACTATCTAATGTGCGATTGATGCTGAGGTGGAACGGCGAGATAATGCTGGTTGTGCCGATGCAGTGACTGGTCATCGCAATCGCCATTTGGTCATCTGGTGAGATTATCTTTGTGGTTGGGGGCAGCTAAATGAGGTACGTTGCTCTTAACCT